CACTGTTCAGGAGAGTCTTAACAGCTATCCCAATGTACCATTTTCTGAAAGTTTTCGGATATTTGCCTCCTGAAAATAAGTGAGTGTAAACTCTTAGTGACAGTAAATGATCATAGCGATGAGCTTGTAGGGCAAGGCTTTAATAGTTTCACTATGTTATTCTGTATTACAGTATAAATGCGAGAGTAAACTGACGCTAGAACTCTTAGATACAGACGAAGACCATAGCGATGACCCTGTAGAGGTTGAGAAGTGGTCAGATTACGTCGAGAGGTTCGTTGGTAACGATAACACAACCCCAGAATTAAGAGAGTCATTGTCTCGGAAGCCGGTCTTTCTGCCAAGGTAGGTAATTTATTTTATGACCTTGGAGCGACGTGGTCATAACTGCACATTCGGAGTGCTTCCTGGCGAGAATAACAACCGCCATATTAACAAATCGTTTTTACAACGTAAATAAGTAAAAGAATATGACGACCATTAGTTTGGATAGTTGCTTGGAAGAAGTGAATCTTTCTAAAAAAGGTCGCATAAAATCTGCAGCAGTTTCCTGGCAACTTTGAAACTTCCTAACCAAGACTCTAACCCTACCACTTCAGTTATCCAAACATTTTGGCTGATAAAAATTGTGTTCTGTAATGGAAGTATGTCTTTGTCCGCGTTGTTCTCATTGTTAACATTTGATTTTATACTTAGGAATGTACGGAGAGGTCGTCAACAGAAAGCGGGAAGTGACACAGACTCGGCTTGTGAGGAGAACATAGAGAAGGAGAAGAAAGAAGTACCGGAAAAGAAAACAGAATCCGATCCGGAGACGACGGAAAAGGATAAGAAGGAGAAGGAAGAGCATTGGATGGGGTGGAGATGGCAAGCAATATGGAATGTAAATTTAATTTGAATTCTTACAAAATGGTGTATGTGGTAAATTCAGAAGACTACATGTACAGGAGATCAGCTCTTAAAAAGGCCAGAGAGGTAACTATCAAATGTAATTGCCCGTTCTTCCCTGTAATGCTGGCTCTGGCTGGCTCAGTAGTGGAAATTTTTATTATTATTTTATATTTTGTTCTCCCAAGGCTTAAAAGTGTAGGGGTTTCCAACTGTTTAATTTTGGATAAACAATAGGGGCTAACAATGAATACAATAATTAACGTGTGATATTGTTATGCAAAATATCTGTTGTTTTTCTGGCGGGGGGGGGGGGGGGGAGGCACTGTACCCTAAAAAACAAACTTGTAGAATCTCTCGCGTTGATGCAAAATTTCGTGTCAGACCACGATTTCAGGAAGAAAAGAAAAGTTTATAAAATTGCCACGGTTGGGCCAGTCTAGCTAGCCATGTCTGTCGTTGCCGCTAACGATTTCTTATGACAGTTATATTCCCACACGACAGTCTATTGGTGGACTTGTGTTGTGCATCTTCTAAAGATGTCTTATTTTGGCAAGAACAAATTTACTTTCTAGATCTCAAATAAAAAAAAAAAACTTGTACCGCATGTGTTGATTAGGAGATTTCCCGTTAAATTCGAGATCTCGCATAAAAATCAAATGATTGAACATCTCTTTTTTATTGCTCTTTGTTGAAATGCCCTAACCCTAACTTCATCAAAATTTACCGTCATCAAATGGGTATATGTATAGCACATAATACTTTCACGTTTGTCAAATCCGACACGATAAATCAGCTGATGACAATTTGTTTATTATTTGTAGATTTTTCAAAGACAGCATTTAATCCCTTTGATTAGTTTAAAATTCCTTAATTTGCTATGGTAACGTAAATCATGGTTAATTACTTAAAGGTTATGACGCATGAACCACACTCGTAATTTGTTCTCGTGTTTTATTTGTCTTAAATATAACGTCCCTGATGTTGTTTTCTCATCTCTGCAGTCGCATCCAGTGATATCAACAAAGCTCCACAAAAGATTTCGCCGCTGGCTCACAAACTGGGAAGTCGGTAATATCTCAGAGGATCAACGGTCGTCCTGTAGCGACTGGTTGCTTGGCAACGTGGACGACATGAAAGTGTGCGAGACAACAAAGACCCACGTGAAGACGGACTGTTTGGACTATCATCGCTATTGCGTTGTATACAAACCTTTGGTTGAATCGTAATCCTCACTCATTTATTTTACTGTTACTATAGATACGAGTTGCTATGACAACCTAATGCGGCCACTGTGAGAATGTGCTGTAATCCAGTGTCGGAACATAGCCCTAATATATTGCAGTCAGTGGACACATGGTATTTAATGATTTCTCATGCTGTTTGTTGAGGGCGCTGTTTCATTACTTGAGTGGAAACTCAGATTTGTTAATAATAGATCCTGGGTTAAATTTTATACAAAAAAAATTGTTTTTGCGCACAAAAACAGAAAATATGTATATTATTTTTAGCGTGGCTTGTATCTATGGTAACTGTAAATAATATTTATCGTCATGAGACCCTTTTCTTGGTAATGAAACATCCATTTTTTTAATAAGATGATTTGGGCGACTCCGTGATAGTCTCTTACTCCCTTGTACAGAATGAACCAAAAAAGTTTTTTTGCTAATTTTTTCTGAGTGTATAAAATCTGTACATGCTGGTAACCATGGTTACCATGCCATTTGTGAATATCAAAGTTATCTTTAAAAAAACAGTTATACATTTGTACAAAGAATTGAAACCACTGCTTTCTATTAAAGAGGCAAAAAAAATAAAAAATGGGGTTTATTTTTTTTTTTTCCTTTCTGAAATTACCTGGTCTTGGCGACGGCGGTCACTGCCAATTAAAAGTAAAGTCTATTTTTTCTGCCCTGCCAGACCAGAAACTTTCCCCAGTTTGGAAGAAACCACTGCTTGTGTAGGGGTGACAGGTAGTCCTAGATCTACCATGAATTTTTCTAATGGTATTGTAAAAAAAAAGTTTTCACATCTGATTTTATATCCGTGGAAGTGAACTGGTTGAACCATCAAATTTGTTTTTTTGGTGTTTTTTTTTTTTTTTTTTTGGTCCTTTATTGTCTTGAGTGCTGTAAAGTAAATTATTTTCGCTGAAAAGATGAAACTGTGAAAATAAAATCCAGTGAAAATACCTTTTCTCCTATTTTTTTACATTCAACTCGTATAAAATTGGTAGGAAATCAACTTCTTACAAAGCAGCCAAAATGTTTTTGCAGTAAAAAAAATTAATATAATTCCAGCTCAAATAAAGTATTTTACAGTAACACAAATAAGTATTAATGTAAATGGCAATAATTACAAGCGTAATTTTTAGTAGAATCCATAAACCCGTCTTGAAATCCCTCAAAGTGAGGCAGTATTTGATAAGTTGAATGAAAATAAAACAAACAAGCTGTCAACAAACAAGCTGCTCTCTGATTGGTCAGAATGTTGGGGTCTTAAGATTGGGTAACCAATCAGAAACTATCTTGTAAATTCATGAAAATGTTACGGTTCAGTTTTCGCTGTTCAATGATTTATCAATCGCTTTTGTGTTTAGTTAAAATTTGACCTTTACATAAAGTTCCATACAAATAACTTGCAGACCAATAGAAGCTAATCTCGGAAATCCGACATATATATGCTGCTGTTGTCATTGACCAATATTCGAAAGCACTTCAGGGTTTCGCTGAAGCTGGCCTTCTGTTGCCATCCTTACGAAACTGAGTGATTGTGTTGTGAAAAGTTTTATTTGACCTCTGCTTAAATTGAATGATTTGATTGGACATGCTGGAGATGGATCCATCAATCAGCGTTACTGTAACAAGTCACATTGATTTCAAATATAAACCAATAGTATTTGCCGTCTTATATCATGTCATAGCTTAACTGACAAAAACATGCAAATTTGTCACAACATGTGACCTCATGTTCTATTTACCATGGAAACCAAGAGCACACGAACTGATAATGGAAATTCTGCCAATGTATAACAGTGATGCGACGACAGAATAAATGAACCTTGGCTGACGAAGATGTACTGTTTGACACTGGTCATTGTTTTTTGTTCAAAGTGTGTTCAGAACAGAAAACACAGTAGACATTGTCTGACTAGACAGAATCTTGAACATAATTGAGGTACCGGTAGATCATCAACTCTAAGACCCGAAAAAGAAAGTTTTTGCTTTTCTTCTTTTTCAGAAAAATGATGCAGTTTAATTAATTTAATTTGTATAACTGAGAAAATATGTTCCACAAGGATATTTACCGTTGATTAAATTATTTTTCAAGATTTGGATTCCAACATTTCCCCCATTCTATTATCGCATGTGTCGCACATTGTCAATATGCAAAACAGTGACGATATCCTACAATATGCGTAAAATCAAAAGTAAAAAACGAACAAAGGTCACAGCCAAACAAGGTCAAAGGTCAAACATGTAGGATTAGGGATACAAACACACAATGGCAAGACGCAAACCCTTTTCTGGAGGAGGTGGGGGTTAAAATGTTGATTAGTTCTTCAAAGGAATAGTCAACCCTATGTATTAGTACCCGTTACATAGACCAAATCATTTCTGTTAAATTGGGTTGGTTCGGCTCTCAAGTCTTATCCTTTTCACCACCAGACTTTCTCACCCAAATATTTCTGCGCATTTTTTTCTTGTATTCAATATTTCTGGAAATGAATCTTAATTTTGGAATTGACAGACATTTTGAATTTGATCAGATGATTTGTATCCAAATATGGTAATTGCTATACTGGATGTTCATTGGTTGAATTTGATCAGATGACTTGTATCCAAATATGGTAATTGCTATACTGGATGCTCATTGGTTGAATTTGATCAGATGATTTGTATCCAAATATGGTAATTGCTATACTGGATGTTTATTGGTTGAATTTGATCAGATGATTTGTATCCAAATATGGTAATTGCTATACTGGATGCTCATTGGTTGAATTTGATCAGATGATTTGTATCCAAATATGGTAATTGCTATACTGGATGCTCATTGGTTGAATTTGATCAGATGATTTGTATCCAAATATGGTAATTGGTATACTGGATGTTCATTGGTTAAATTTGATTTCTGGAAATAAATCTTAATTTTGAAATCGACAGACAACATTTAAGCCAATTTTCATGTTTTTACTAAAAAAAAAACAATTTTTATCCCAGTCTTCTGACTGAAAGTGCAGACTATAAACAAGACTATTTTGCGAGGGGAGCTGGTGGTAAGAAGGTTAAAATTTGAAAGATGTCCTGCAAGGAGAAATCCATTGTTGCAATGTATTAAATCAACATTTAAAAACCAAATTGTTTGAATGTTCAGCTTAACGTGTTAAATCTCAATACAGGCTTTTATAACGGTAATTCTTGTTTTAAAAAAAAAAAACCAGAAAGGCCCAAATTTGTAATATTTTTTGGTAACTGATTTGAAGTAGAAAAAAAGGCCAGGTGTAACCTTAGTAGGAATCATGGAGGAACTTGTCACAGGTTCTTGATTTGGTTATTTCTATTTGGTACGTGTTGAACCCATTGTCTCTATGAGGCACGTTTAAACGGCTCAACTACCAATAGTTTTACTCGTTCCATGAATAACCATGCAATGATGCATCTTAGTGCTAGTGTCTTTCTGTATAGGAGATCCCAATAATTTCTCTGGCTGTGATTCTTCAGACGCAATGGCCGTTTAAAAAGAGCTGCATGACTCGTCCTTGCTACTCAAATAGCATTCTGTTCGCTCTCGAGTCTAATTATCATGGTTACTGTGGATGTAATGACAAGAGAGGATGAAATACTGTACGAGGGACAAAAACAAGTCTTGTTGGTCTCTGTCGCTGAGATTTCAGCAGATGTTGGTGTGTATTACCAAATATTTATACTGGATTGGTGTCCTATTGGTTGAAATAGATTGTGATTTGTCTGTATCTAAGTATGAAAATTGTCATACTGGATGTCTGTTGGTTGAATTTAATCACATGATTTGTCATGGATGTTTGTGATTTGTATCCAAATATGGTAATTGCTGTACTGGATGTTCATTGGTTGAATTTGATCAGATGATTTGTATCCAAATATGGTAATTGCTATACTGGATGTTCATTGGTTGAATTTGATCAGATGATTTGTATCCAAATATGGTAATTGCTATACTGGATGCTCGTTGGTTGAATTTGATCAGATGATTTGTATTCAAATATGGTAATTGCTATACTGGATGTTCATTGGTTGAATTTGATCAGATGATTTGTATCCAAATATGGTAATTGCTATACTGGATGTTCATTGGTTGAATTTGATCATATGATTTGTCTTTACCCAAATATGGCAATTATATTACTGGATGTTTATTAATGACAGGTAAATTCCCAAATTGTTAACTGTTTCTATACACTATATCAAAAGTATATGTATTTAACCCTTCATGGCAGAACAAAATAAGGAACTCTTTTTGAAGCAGCCTTTTTGTCATCCAGCCCTTTTGGGGGGAAACAAATGTAAAAATACATTTTTTTGTAAAATACCGGTAATTTGAAAACTGGTCAGAAAAATAAACCTTTTTTTACTGAATTTGAATACAATTGAAATCTGGTTTGGGGGAGAGGGGTGGTGATAAGATGGCTGCCATGTTGCTCTGTAGATCTTCCAAAGAAACGCTTTTTGAGTGTCGTGATTGTTTTTGTTTTTTTCTGATGTGAATTTTTGGGAGACTCATTTCCTCTGTATAAAAGTGACCGTTCTTTACCATATTATAATAAAGTTGTCTTTTTTTTCCACGAAAATTGAATTTGTTGTATTTGTGTTAAAAGCCAGAAGGTTGTTACCTGCGCACACGCGGGAATTGAGTCCCAAGCAACGATAACACGCACTAAAAGTGCAAAGGCTTATGGGTAGATGCTTGTTTGTAAACAATGACGTGCTATGGCCATCTGACGCATGCACAGGTGACGACTCCCCCCGCTTTAATTTGTGTTGCAACAGTTAGTGCGCCATTCAATATATGGCATGCCACTGGAAAAAAAAATAAAAAATTTGCTGTCCTGTATCGTATCTGGATATAATGTTCTTAAAAAACATCTGGTTCTGGTCGATTTGGTGTAAGGTATTTGAAGTTTCACCAACGACAGTCTATGCTTGCAAAATACCGATTCTTTGGTTGAAATATAAAAAATATCATTTGTTAACCATATTTGAATACAAAATTAAGACAAATAGGCAACAAAAATGTCCATTTCGTCTGAATTTGATGAAATTACAGGAAAATACTTACAAAAAAATGTTGTGAAAAAAACAACAGTATTTGCATATTCCAGCCACCAGAGGGCAGTCTACATTTCCCCCTGATGCATTCTTTGTGTTCATGTACAGGATCCATTGTTTAAATCCCAGTCACCTCAGAAACAAGTTGCATTCAAGTATTGTTTGGTTTTTAGAATTTGACAATAGCACCTGCGCATGCAATGGAATTACTTCCCAAGCTCTGATAACAGCACACGCTAAAAACGCAAAGGCTCATGGGTGGCCATCTGACACATGCACAGGTGACGACTCCCCCCGCTTTAAATAATTTTGCAATTATTGATAACCTTATGTTGCTGGGAATGTTTCCAGCATGCAGTTAGAAACAGGAAATGAGCGTCCTCTAGTGGCCACTTCGGTGATAAAAAATACTGGTATACTGGATAAGAATAAAAGGTAAGGTTTACCAGAAACGCACCATTTTTTTAGTTCCACTGTTCAGCTTATCATATGAGTGATTGTTTCGGCGGCGGCCATGTTAACTTTTTACTTTTTTGATTTCTTGAAAACTACAAATCTGATTGCTTTGATACTTTGTGTACATGTACCTCGTGTATACCTCTCTTAGATTCGTCCATTACATGATGGTATCTTTAATTCTCTAATTTTAGTGAATATTTCTGTCCGTTTTGGTAAAAAAATGATATTTTCAACTTCTTGTTGAATACCACAAATCTGATTACTTTGATATTACACATATAGGTACCTCAAGTGGACCTCTTTCAGATATCTTCAATTCTCTAAAAATGTTGATGAATATTTTTGGTAAAACAGTAAGTTTGATTGCTTTGATACTATACATATTGTTCATTTTCTAATGATATCTTCAGCTCTTTAATAGTAATGTACATTGCTAACAGCGGAGCTATCTCAGCCGTCAGGCTGCTTGTTTTATTAAGCTTTAGGAGGGTGGTGGGATCCATGTAGTGTATAAAAATTCATATTGAGAGAGAGACTACTAGTGATAGAATATTTTATTTTGTTGACTAAAAAAGCAACCACATTTTATAGTGTTAACTAAATTCAAATTAAATTATTCAAATTAGATAAAATGAGACAAGATCAGTTTGTCATTTGACAAAATAAGCCAATCATGAGACAAGATCAGTTTGTCATGTGACAAAATGAGCCAATCATGATACAAGATCAGTTTGTCATGTGACAAAATGAGCCAATCATGAGACAAGATCAGTTTGTCATGTGAAAAGTTATCCCAATGATATAAAAAGATGAACTAATCATGTGACAAGATGAGCCAATCAGATAGCATCTTATTAAAACAAGATTATTATCCAATCATATAGCAGCTTATTTAAACAAACATGAGTATGGCCCAATTAATCAGTCTGTAATAAAAGATATGGTTAGGATTGGTCAGTGCAACATGTCAGCAGTGTCAGTTTGTACTAAGGAATATGATTGGTTGATGTTACATGTCAGTTTGTAATAACGAATATGATTGGTCAGTTACACAATCTGTAATTTTTGTAAAATATAGAAAGGTATGAATGAGGTATTATGATAAAAACAAAAACTATAAAAAACATAAACAGATAGACAGTAATAAAAGCAATAAAGTAACTAAACAAAATATTTTATATAAGTAAGGCCAAAAAAATAACTGATTTGTTTCTTGTTTCACAGGGGTTTCACAAATGCATTTAATAGCAGGCCATCATCCTGTAACAACAGGCCAACGAATAAAATAAAAAGGATCTCGGCAGAAAGTAGACGGTCAATTTGGGCTTGTAGTCAGCTATATGGCCGTCGATCGGCTCTTAAATGAAATCCCTGATACATTTTGTTCAAAATTGGCTGCTCATGTCTTTTTCTCTTCTGGTTTCTGCTAAAATGTTGTAATAAAATAGCACAAAAAAAGAAAAAGTTAATATACACACAATTTTTCAGAAACAAAAACAAATCTTTTTTTTTCAGCCTAAAAAGTAATTCATGAAAATCACAATTCTTCTTTTTTCGATTTACTCATCTTCTCTTCTTTCGAGTTTTCCTCTTTTTTATCATCCTTCTTTTTTTTCTTTTTTTTACTTTTCTTTTTTTGTTCCGTTTTGTTGTCTTTCTTCGATTCCTTCTTATCCTTGGCATCAAGGTGTTTTCCCGGAAAGCTTTGATTCTCGAACGTCACTTCTTCGCATCGTTCTTGGTCAATCAGGAAATTTTTAATGTCTACCGCAGTACTACCGTCTTTGAGTACGAGTATTGCGCGATTGTCCTCTATCATGTACCTTCAGAAGAAAAAAAAAGAATTTTTTTTAACTATATTTATATTTTTTAAATTTAAAACAGAAATAATCCCTTAAATAATGGGTTTGACTGTGTCTCAACCATTATTTCTTATGTCCAGTCCTTACTCTGTTATCTGCAATAATGGGCATTGCCATGTAAACAAATTATTGAATATAATATTTTTTTAATTTATGCATGAATTTAATTAGAAAGACAATAATGCACAATTATCTATAGGGTATGCTTTCAAGTTATGCCCCAGAATGTGGATACCAAATATTGAAGTTATGCCCCAGAATGTGGATACCAAATACTGAAGTTATGCCCCAGAATGCGGATACCAAATATTGAAGTTATGCCCCAGAATGCGGATACCAAGTATTGAAGTTATGCCCCAGAATATGGATACCAAAAAATTGAAGTTATGCCCCAGAATGTGGATACCAAATATTGAAGTTATGCCCCAGAATGTGGATACCAAATATTGAAGTTATGCCCCAGAATGTGGATACCAAATATTGAAGTTATACCCCAGAATGTGGATACAAAATATTGAAGTTATACCCCAGAATGTGGATACAAAATATTGAAGTTATGCCCCAGAATGTGGATACCAAATATTGAAGTTATGCCCCAGAATGTGGATACCAAAAATTGAAGTTATGCCCCAGAATGCGGATAACAAATATTGAAGTTATGCCCCAGAATGCGGATACCAAATATTGAAGTTATGCCCCAGAATGTGGATACCAAATATTGAAATATTGTTTTATGCTGGAAAAAAGTAAAATGATGAAAATGCAATAATTATTCTTCAGTTTTTAATTTTGCTATTTTTTCTGATACGTAAAATCTTGAGGCATGTGACGTGCAGGTTTCAAAATGACAAGAAGGAAAACCTATTTTTTTGGTGTAAATTAAGGATTTAATAGGTGATTTTCCGTTCAACTGCGAGATCTCGTGAGTTGCATGAAAGACACGCGTCGAACGATTTGATTTTGAACTCGAATTTCTTTATTTCGTAGCTCACATCGACCGGCCGATCTTTGACAGGGGAATATTGCATTTGAATACCCTTACTTCATTGAAATTGCCTATCATCAAATGTATACAGCACATTATTAAGCATGGAAATATTCCCCAAAATACTTCTGCGTTTGTCGAATCCCACGCGATGTTTGACGCCACTATGCTGCTATGACCGTTGTTTGTCCTGTTTTTATGTTCGATTTCATGCATAACGCGTGATTCTCGCAGTGAACGGAAAATGGTCAATTTCTACTTGCCTTGTCATTTCATAATGGGCATTAAATAACTGACTCTGCCACATTAGAGTGATTTCGTCAGCTTCTTTACGTGATGGATTACCAGACACAGTAACGAACATCATCAACGTCCGGCCTTTCTTGGTAACCTTGACGATGTCTTCTGGTTCTTTACCAGTCAATTCATTGATGTCAAACTGCGCTTGTGGACGTAAATGTTCTGGTAAATCATCGGGATCCGTTTCATCCTCTCCTTCCTACAAGATATAAGCTACGTCAGAGAACGTTCTATGTTGCTAAAATGCACAGCACCGTACCATATATTTCTATGGTCTCTTCGCAAGCTGCTGTGAAACGCCGGTCGAAGAGCCGGTGAAAATAGCTCAACTTAAAAAAAACTGCACAAACTCAATTTTGAGACAATCCGGAACAACCAAATGTACATATGTTGCACATGTAGAGGTAATCTAGACATACAAACTACTGGAAAATACTTTATTTTCACATGAAATTTATTATTCGCTGAATGAAAGGGATGGTTCAGTGAAAATAATCCAACAAATATAATTTTTTTCGTACATTTTCCCGAATCAAAAATCAGTGAAAATAAACTCTACACAAAAACACCAAAAATTCTTTTCAACAAAAAATTAATTCCTGTAAAAATAAAGTATTAAAAGAGCAGTGGGTGCAGCATAAATGAATGGCATAACTGAAGAAACCGTGTAGCAGTCATATCAATATGTATTCATCCATTTCAACGGAAGTTACTCAGGAATACATTTGATATTTTAGTTCTGTTATTTATACTCTAAAACATGTAAAATTTCGCTGATAAATAAATTGCGCTAAATTAAAGTGAGAGGGTCGTCCCAAGTGATAACAACACACGCTAAAAACGCAAGGGCTCGTGGGTAGACATTTGTTTGTAAACAATGACACGCTATGGTCATCTGACGCATGCGCAGGTGACGACTCCCCTGCTTTAAATCTATGTGAACATATAAAATAGATTAGAACTCATTGTTTCTCAGCCATTTTTGTGAACCTAAGACCCAGTTAAATTGCTCAAAATAACAAAATAATGAAATCAAATGCCAGTGAAAAATAAATGAATTTATATCATAGAACATTTTTTCTCGACACAGACATAGTTTCAGTCCTATTCACAGTGTTATTTGTGGTATTGAAAAAGTTTGTTATTACCACACAGACTGTGATGTGGCATGATTGATGCAAGCGAGGCAGCCTTGTGATTGGATGTAATTTTTTTTGGAATTTGTGACTGCTACAAATTTTGTGAATTTCACCATCCTAAAGAGAATTATTAATTGAAAGTAAAAAAGTGTATGATCCAAACATAATTAAAAAGTATAGCCAGTATGGAACAGAGATGAGAACCAGGATTTCTGTTACACCTATTTGCCAAGGACTAAATTTAGTGATAAGTGGCTAACCAGAAACAAAAATGACTGAATAATTTACCAAATTACTTGTACATTGTAGGTAGGAAATTCAAGACAAAACACAGACTTGATGATTAAACAAAATTCAACGTAGAGGATCCTGGAATTTCATTAACAGATGCAAACATATGCCCAAATGCTTGAAATTACCAAAAAAAATTGTTTTTATTTCACGAAAGACGAAGTTTTGCAAGGGGGCAAAAATACTATGAAACTCCAACAATTGTATCAGCAACAACTGCAATATTTTTTTGTCTTTACAAATACCAGCAAATAACAAAATTGCCAAAATCCCTGGCAGCGAAAAATTTAAAATGCTTACAGTTGTTTGTGAATCAAATTTGTCAAAATTTTGATAAATTTGGCTTAAATTTTTTTTTTCTTCTTCCACCTGAAATGTTATAAACAGTTAAATAGAAATACAGAAGTTTTGGTTCAAAAAATGAATGGAAATTTCATCACCGCTTCTTACATGAATGCTGGTTAAAAAATGTAAATGCATTTACATCGGATTTTAGTTATTTTTACATAATCTTTTTCCACACCACAATAATTCATGTACTGTAATCTGCTTTTATCTTCAACTATATTTTTTATTTTATATTTTTTTTTTTTATATTCCCTGGCAATTCAGCAGCCTGACGAGAAAATGTTTACATTTAGATATTAGTACCGGTAGTGTCAAAAACAGAAATTAAAGTCCACATTTTTTTTCCAAAATTTTCACCAAGACTAGTAGCTAGTAGGAAATTATGTCCATTTCGTCCAAAAATTATCAACAAAATCAGCAGCCTGGCGGTCACATTTAGATATTAGTAGTATCAATTCACCTTTGTGTAACTTTTTTTTGTCACCAATTTCAACTTTTGTTACAAACAGAAATTAAAACCTGCATGTTTTATTTCATATTTTTTCCAAATTTTGACCAAGACTTGTAGCCAACAGAAAAATATGTCTATTTGGTTCAAAATTATGAACAAAATTACCCCAAAATCCTAAAAATATGCAAAATATTGGAACAAAATGTTGATGAGAAAAATTCTCCTTCACTCCAAAGCCAATTATCACTCTCTGTGAAGATATTTTAATTGCATAGCTCTCTCTAATCACTAACATTACTGTGTTCGGAAAAGCCAGTTTTAGCTCCAAGACAATTTTCAAATGACAATGTCTACCATTACCATTTTTAGTTCAACAATACCAGAAAACTAAAACTCACTAATAATTCAATCACTGTAAAAATTATAATTATTCTAATTAATGGATGGAAAATTGTCATTCTGAAAGGATTCCCATCCCATACAATTTCCACGCCCTTAAATCCACCCATCTCTAAAGCCGAATTGATGTACCATGACAAGATGCTTTACTGCAATCTGTAAACCGTTTAATTTTCACTGAAAACAATTTGTGGGATTCCAGAATTTTATGAAATTCATGAAAACAAAATTTCACAAAAGTCACTATGTATCGTATGATTGTACTGTTAAAGGATTAATTATTCAGATTTAATTAATTTGCCAGTGTATACTCTATTTCTACAATGTTAGTACTGTTACAATTTAAGTTAACTTTTGAATTCTGCAATTAAATCTGTATTAGAAGCCGCATCCCTTATAGAAGTCGCACCCATTTTTTTTTCAAACAATTGAGAACGAAAAAATGACAATTTCTTATATATGTTCTAATAGAAACCGCTTCACCTCTGTTGCATTTTATCATTTTAATAGAAACAGATGGAAAATTAATAAGAACTATCGTCAAAGTAACTATTATTCATGTGATTTCCGAATATATAAATAGATAGATTTATACTAATAGTTTATGAATTCATTAACAGATGTCCTACCCTCTTTTTCGCAGCCCACGGGTATAGCACGCAACTCGTCTCGACCAATCACGTTTCGACACAACATACTTAAAGAGTTTTATCTCTAAATTGCAGTAACATATTTCGTTTTAATTTTCGATTTGCAGTTGAAATTTGTGTATATTGAATCTATTTAAAGGAATCGACAGTGTTGGTTCTGTTGAGGTATCACACTGTCGTCTGCTACGACTAGTATAAGTTGCAGAATTTGTTCACCCACCTCCCATTGATCGAAGAGTCTTTCTACGTCTGCATCTGTGTAATCGCGTACGTCTTTCTTTTTCCATTCGTTAGTCCGCTCTCCTGGTCGGGGCTTTTTCTCTACCTCTTCGTCGTCTTCCTCCTCATCCGTGTCCACAGATCCGACGCTTATCAGCATCGTAATGCATAGCACGAGAAATAAAACTCTGCGTCGACGACTGCCACCAACCTCCACACACGCTGCCATGTTGATGTTTGTGAACCCGGAAATGTGAGGTCACCTTATTATAAAATATTGCTCGTAGGTGAAAACGTAAGTTGTATCCCTACGCCGGGCGGAAATTTGAGTTTTAAGACACTATTCAAAGTAACCTGACAAATATTCCCTTTTCTTTAAAGGGATTCGGTGCTACAATTATTTTAATCTGTATCTGTCATTTTCTCTCAACAAATTGTCGCCACATTACGAAACATGTCAGAAAATAGAACTATTTTCTGTCCGGGGATCTGACGTCGAGCAGAGTACAGACAGCTCCGCCAGGCGCATGGAACAACGATTTCAATTGGTCAATTATTTTATATATTATTACAGTAGCCCAATAAACGAAAGCGTCTTAAACACGGCAAACAGTCATCATTATTTTTTAATTTGTAGTTTTCTACAATTCGTTGATGCTATGTATGAAATTATTAACGTGAAAAAGGAAAACAACTGAGAAATATGAAAAAGGTTAATTATAACATTCAGATTTTGTATTTTTTTTTAGAAAAAAGCTTGTGTAAATATTTATTCGTCCAGAGGGAGTCGTTGTATTTCATATGCAAATAGTGGCGGTCTGTGAACTGTTAATATGGACCACACCCACTCAGTGCCCTTATTTCAGTTTGTGGCGTCTTATTTAGATGAAAAATCACGCGAATAGTCTGGTGAAATTCTCAATAATATCGCGGATGATCGACGACCTCGTTTGAGCCGTGGTTTCTACTTAATCTGTGTAAGTGAATTCACTCCATTCATAAAACTGATATTGGTACTGAGGTCAACTTGCCTTTCTGCGGTCAAAGTTTATCGACGACTTCCTCTTTGAATCACTTCACCAAGCCCCCTTTGCTAGGCTGGATGCCCGTGCTGTGCTGTTTATCGCCGGTCTCGTCGCTTCGCGCGGTTGATCGGCGGATTTACGGTGTCGGTGATTTGGTAAATATTTATCAATTGCGATGTCATTCCTCGTAGTGGGGAGTTTAGAAAACGCGGCCTTCAACACAGTGGTCGCCGATGCATCGAGTCGTGTTGTCATCGCTTGCAGTTTCGACGCAAGCCGGTTGATGGAATGGCCGTGTCCGCTAACGACACTGTTTTATCTTTAGCCGTTTGCTGCGACGTCTGCGCTTCAAAAATGCAAGCTGTGGTCGATCTACTGCTATTAACCAGCGACTTGCGGCCGGTGAATACAGAAAGTTTATCAGTGTTTGGAGAATCGTACGCCAAATGTCGAGATACGATCATTGCTCGAACGAAAGGCTTGTCCGTTCTGACACGAGACATTCTACAACAGATGAGCTCCGGAAGATACAACGATGTACAACTGAGTCTCCGAGAAATATGCGAACTTGTTGTGAGTTTGACGGAATGTTCGGCTCATGCGGCCTACCTCGCTGCGACGACAGAAATGTCATCCATCAAGTCTATTCCCGGAATAGTAGATAAATACAAAGTCTCCCGTGCAAAATTTGACATCGAAAACTGTTGTAATCGTATCCAGCACACTCCAATAACTGAATTGTCACCGCAGCTAATTGTGGAAATATCGGATGAAATTAGAAAAAATCTACATATTTTATCTCAGGCATGTATGTTAGCATCTGACACTAGCGAGGACCCGTTTCACAAAGAGCAGTTCAAACTTTGCGTAAAAAGTATGACGGCATGCGCCATGGCCTTGTTTTCTACTGTTAAACGCTATAAGAACACTTTGGATGAAAGAAATCGATTACGATGTGTTGTGTTTTCACGACCCCTTGTCCAAGCCTGCCAATCGCTTGTGGATTATGCGACGGAATCCGAGCATCTCGGGTCACCCGCTAAACTTTCAGAGGAAGGGAAAAACGTTCAGACTGCCGTATTGGGTGGATGTATGAGTGTGGTCAGCCCGTGTGTACAGCTCTGTCTGTGTGTGCAGTCATTAGCCCAGGATCCTAACAATACCGACCACCAGCGCAGGATTATTTCATGCAGTTCTGCCATTGCCGATGGATCTACTCTTCTCTCACAAGCACTGAGACTGAAATCCTCCCCTAGAACATCATATGCTGGCCCGTCATAGCATTGGAATAAGGTCCTAATCAGGCCGAACCATTCACGAAATAGGGGTTTCACTTTTAATTAAACTGATTACTTCTTCATGTTGTTGAATAATAACGTTTTACTTTCGATAGTACCTTAACAAACCCTGTGTACCCCATTAGACAGTAACGCCAGTCCATGCCAAAGTCATGTGACCATATTGTTATGTCGGGTCTTTGCCAAAGTTGTTTGTTTGACCTATGACCCTGAATATTCAGTATTTTTTACTAGATCGTTAAGTATATTGTGTTTAATTATAACAGGTCCGAATAATTTTCCTGCTGTGTTGGAATGTCAAATTACAATAATTAAAATACAAATATATTATTTATGTCTGTTTTGTTTGCATCGTCTTGCAATGTACTGTGAAGGAAGTAAATAATTACTGGATTTAATATTAGCAGATATGATGTTGCACGGATATTTACTAGGTATTTAAAGCGAGAAGGCTGCCACCTGCGCACGCGCGAGAATTGAGTCCGAATCGATGATAACAACACACGCTAAAAACGCAAAGGCTCATGGGTAGACGCTTGTTTGTAAACAATCACACACTATGGCCATCTGACGCATACGGACTCCCCAGCTTTAAATTCTGGCAGTGATTTGTTAAGGAAACAATACATCCAAATTTGTATATTTTCAGGGTTTTTAATTTCACTATCCACAAAATACTGTAAACCTCTGAATTTTCGCTTCAAGGAATTTTTCGCAATTTACCGACTTTCAGGCATATGTGTAGATAAAATTTCGCAAAGGTCGTTGACATTCAAAGTGTTATCACCTCAGAGAAATTTTCTCTCCCACAAATTTGAGAAAATTTATCACTCTTGAAATTAAAATGGTTTGCAGTAATACAAATTTACACACAGTGAATAACACTAAGACAATATACCTTAAATATCGGTATACCCTTTGAAAACCATAATTTTTCTCACCAAAATTTTGATGCAATATTTTAGGGATTTTTTGGTAATTTTAGTGATAATTTTAAACCACAATTTTCTACTGGCTACACGCTTGATTAAAATTTGAAAATAAAATTTGAAAATAAAATTTGAAAATATAAAATAATGTAGGTTTCAATTTTTGTTTGTGACAAAAGTTGCATTTTGCATTCCAAATGTTAGACCTCAAAGTACACTTTGTTACAAATTAAAAACACATACAAATTTGTCCTTATTTTTCTTCGAAAATTTTGATTGTGACAATAGTTTATGCCAGAATTAGCAAAGAAAAAATAAATGAATACATAAAAATATTGACTATCCCCCATCGTGGCAATTTATTGTTTTATATGACAGTTGTCTTTGTCTGGGCCAGAAAAAAAAATAATGAATATTTATTTAGCAGATTAAAAGATGATTTAAAGAAGATCTAACAAAATTGAAGTTTATGTCACGTTTGTCATTATTATACGTTCATACAATCAAGAATACCAAAAATAACAAAAAAATGGAGTCACCAAAAAATTGAAAAAAAAAATCATATTTATTTATATCTAAAAATTTTGCTCTGTGACAAGGAATGAAAAAGTCGTAAACTAATATTGATATGAAATCTAACATTCATGAAATCATGAAATTGACATATAATTTAATGAGTTTCCAGGGTTATACTAGTTTCCATTGTACAATCTCCCATAATGCAATGCATATATGTGCAGTAACATGCTCAGTGGTTAAAAATTTGAAGTTATCTCCCATAATGCATTGCGTATATGTGCAGTAACTTGCTTAGTGGTTCAAAATTTGAAGTTATCTCCCATAATGCATTTCATATATGTGCGGTAACATGCTGAGTGGTGCAAATTTTGAATTCAGCTCAAACTACCTCAAATTTGGATAAAAATTGTTTCTCATAAATTTTCCAAATTTGTAGATACATGTAACAATAAAGTCAAATTGGAAGCTTTAAAATGTACAGTGTGGTGACAAACAGTGCCTAGACAGCTGGACCATTATATGTAAACAGTGCCTAGATAGCTGGACTATTATGTGTAAACAGTGCCTAGATAGCTGGTCCATTATGTATAAACAGTGCCTAGAGAGCTGGACTATTATGTGTAAACAGTGCCTAGATAGCTGAACCATTATGTGTAAACATTGCCTAGAATGATGGACCATTATATGTAAACAGTGCCTAGATAGCTGGACCATTATATGTAAACAGTGCCTAGATAGCTGGACCATTATGTGTAAACAGTGTAGATAGCTGGACTATTATAAGTAAACAGTGCCTAGATAGCTGGACTATTATATGTAAACAGTGTAGATAGCTGGACTATTATGTGTAAACAGTGCCTAGATAGCTGGACCATTATATGTAAACAGTGCCTAGATAGCTGGACTATTATGTGTAAACAGTGCCTAGACAGCTGGACCATTATATGTAAACAGTGCCTAGATAGCTGGACTATTATATGTAAACAGTGTAGATAGCTGGACTATTATATGTAAACAGTGCCTAGATAGCTGGACTATTATATGTAAACAGTGTAGATAGCTGGACTATTATGTGTAAACAGTGCCTAGATAGCTGGACCATTATATGTAAACAGTGCCTAGATAGCTGGACTATTATGTGTAAACAGTGCCTAGACAGCTGGACCATTATATGTAAACAGTGCCTAGATAGCTGGACCATTATGTGTAAACAGTGTAGACAGCTGGACCATTATATGTAAACAGTGCCTAGATAGCTGGACCATTATATGTAAACAGTGCCTAGATAGCTGGACTATTATGTGTAAACAGTGTAGATAGCTGGACTATTATGTGTAAACAGTGTAGATAGCTGGACTATTATGTGTAAACAGTGTAGATAGCTGGACTATTATATGTAAACAGTGTAGATAGCTGGACTATTATATGTAAACAGTGTAGATAGCTTGGACCTATTATATGATAAACAGTGTAGATAGCTGGACTATTATATGTAAACAGTGTAGATAGCT